ACACAATCCAGTACAGGGAAACACTCATACACTCTCTTATTCACAAACACTTATACACTACGGCCAATTTCATTCATTTATACATTTTCCTTCGGCTTAGTCCCTTTATTCATCAGGGGTCACCACAGCAGAATGAACCGCCAACTATTCCAGCATATGTTTTACGGAGTGGATGCCCTTCCGCTGCAACCCAGTACTAAGAAACACCCATACACACTCATTCACACACACACACTCACACACTACGGCCAGTTTAGCTCATCCAATTCGCCTATACAGCATGTCTTGGGAAACTAGAGCAACAGTGCTTACCATTGAGCCACCATGTCGCCCAGTACATTTATTTAAAACTGCAATAATATTGCACAGTATTGCTGCAGATTTGGTCCTATATATATAAGTGCAAATTTGGAAAGCAAAAAAAAGCCTAAAATCTTAATTATTCTATTTTTTATTATTCATATTTTTCATGAGGCCCATTTTGTGGCTAAATATACATGAAGACATGCTATTTGATGTCAAAAATGGACATCCTCAGCCTGTTTGTGCGACTGCTTTGGTTTTGACTGCGGGAAGTAGCTGTTTCCGTAACAATGATAAGTTTTGGCTCCATTTGTTTGATAGGGACGTTATTTCCACCATGTCAGCTACTTCATCCTTTCTTGCCCCATGAAGATAAACAGGTCCATTTTTCTTGTGCTTAAAGGAACATCTATCCTATTTCCACATTTTATTGCAAGCACAACTTAGAAGTAAACAAGTGTCTACCACCCATTGGGTTTTAAAGTTTAATGCTTCTTCAAAATCATTACGGATTCACTCAAAAATGAAACATAAATCATAAATTAACAGCACAAAATAATTACGCAGATCATGTTGAATTAAATATGAAGCACTGTTCTAGATTTCTGTTTAAGTGTAAGCACTCTTAAGTGGGTTGTGTAATGTTTCATTTAATTTATGGGTGTTTTTCAGATGTTTTTCTTTCTGTGTTGCTTTGTATGGGATCCACGGTGATGCCAAGTGCATTGATATGTTAAATATACTCTGAATATCTGTTTGCTCATAGCTCAAATATTATTAACGTGACACAATGTCTCAAGAGAGATTGAATATAGACAATGCAGTCAGTGGGCAGCTGCTCATTTTGACCTGTGTACTTTCCCCGAAAAGGATAAAGTAGTACTAGACATTATTTACATAGCGCTAGTCCCTGCTATGAGTCTTTGCTGAATAGTTTAGCACGTAAAATAAGACTAATGGATGCTTATAGTAACTCGAGGTCTGTCACATGACCTATAGAGCGCAACAATGAAATGCGGAAATGAACAGCCAGCTTATCCAGCATATTTTTCGCGCAGCGGATGCCCTTCCAGCCACAACCCATCACTGGAAAACACCCATACACTCTCATTCACACACATATATACGAACAATTTAGCTTCCAATTCACCTGTACCGCACATCTTTGGACTTGTGGGGAAAACCAGAGCATCTGGAGGAAACCTACGCAAACGTGGGGAAAACATGCAAACTCCACACAGAAATGGTAACTGACCCAGCCGAGGCTCAAATCAGCGACTTCTTGCTGTGAGGCTACAGCACTACCTACTGCGCCACCTGCGTCGACACAAATATTCATTTTATTTATTTTTTAAAAGCTCGACAAACCTGTAAAAATAACTGTTGTGAGCTCAGAAGTTAGTATTAGGTAAACTTTTAAAACAATCATTTAATAAGTTTGTGCAGAAAAACTACATTACCCACGATGCTGTGCAGAAAATTACACCAATCAGAAAGCTGCAGTGCGCAAAGAGAGCCTAAGAAGACCTTTAGCCTCGCTCACTCTCTTGAAGCACTGCAAATGATGTAATCATACACTCTTGAGGAAGTATTAAAATATGTATTTAAAAATGTTTTATTTAAATGTAATTTCTGACATTTTTATTTATTTTTGTAGTTCACAACTCTGCAAATGATGTAATAGTGCACTTTAAACTTATATTCAAATTTCAGTCCTACTGAGGTGGCCTTAAGTACTATGTATCTAAATCATAATATAAACACAATTTACCTACCGTGGGGGTGGGGGTGGCATGGTGGCTCAGTGGTTAGCACTGTCGCTTCACAGCAAGAAGGTCACTGGTTTGAGTACCAGCTGAGCCAGTTGGCATTACTATGTGGAGTTTGCATGTTTTCCCTGTGTTGGTGTGGGTTTCCTCCCTTTTCTCCCACAGTCCAAATACATGAGCTACAGGTGAATTGGGAGCACTAAATTGGCCGAAGTGAATGAGTGTGAATGTGAGAGTGTATGGGTGTTTCCCAGTCCCTCTAGAACAGCTAGAAAAGGCATCCACTGTGTGAAACATATGCTGGAATAGTTGGAGGTTCATTCCGCTGTGGTGACCTCTGATAATTTAGAGAGTAAGCCAAAGGAAAATGAATGAATGAATTAATGAATTAATTAATAAATGATTGTACTTAATATGTGTTGGGTTAGAGAAAGGTTTGGTGATAAGGGTTTAAGAGTGGGTTAAAGTGTAATGTCTAGTTCAGACTGCACGATTTTCAAAGTAGTCGTGTCACAGATGTTTTCACACTGCATGACTATCTGGGGTAGTGTTCTGTCGGTGCTGTGTTTACACTGTAGGATGGATCGGCGACAGTAGAGTTCACACTGCATGACTTTAATATAGGAAGAATCACAGACAACTTTGTCCAAACTGTCTCACAACCAAACAAACACGAGAAGTGACATGGAGACAACCCAAGGTCACGTAATATCTTTAGTTATTAACTACAGAATGGAAAAAGAAGGCTTTAGCTTTATAAACTTGTGTTGCTCACCTGGCTTTTGAAGAGAATGAACAATCTCTCTTTAACTTTTTTTACTTTTTGACCTGATTGTGATGTTGATCAGATGACACGTCCAGCAGACGGTGCTCCTGCCAAATTTACACTAGTTTTTCCTCAATTTCTTGGGTCCAAATAAACTGAAAATAAGCGCTTTTAACTTCTCTCCCAGTATCCCGCTGGCCTGCAGGTACACACACTAGTGAATGCTGCTCTCTTATTGGCTGTAGGTGAACGCGGATGTTATCTTCAATCAGAACACATTTTACACGGCTTAATTTGAATCACTGACAGCTCCAGACATTTACCATGCCAAAATATCTTACGGGTGTCGGCGACTCATTGGCGATTCTTTCATAACGCGTCTTAGATAGTTCATACTGTGGGATTGTCACTCACGTGAACGAGCACAGATTTACCTGTGTTTTCAGGCGTTTGTCTGCGAGTCAAAATCAGGGCTAAAACCATGCAGTCTGAACTCGGCATAAGGCACAGGTGTCGAAACCATTTCCTGGAGGATTGCAGCTCTGCACAGTTTAGTTCCCACCCTGCTTCAACACACTTACCTGTAGATTTCAAACAAGCCTGACAGACTCAATTAGTTTGATTAGGTGCGTTTAATTAGGGTTGGAACTAAGCTGTGCAGAGCTGCGGCCCTCCAGGAACTGAGTTTGACACATGTGGTGTCATGGATGGTCAACAGTGTAATTATGTCAGCGTCAATAGCCTAGTGGTTAAGTGCACCAACATATAGCACCAAGGTGCTCACGGCGACCCGAGTTCAATTATCGGCTCGAAGTCCTATGCCGATCCTTCCCCTCTCTCTGCTCCCAATGCTTTCCTGTCTGTTTTCACTGTCCTATCACATTAAAGGTGACCCCCTTCCCCCTTAAAAATGCTTTTTTTTTAAAAGCATGACGATTAAAACATGAACGCAGTTATGAATATATTAAAACGTGTTTGTTTGTCATAAAATTCATAATAATGACAAAAAAATATATATTTGTGGTTCTCCTTACCTCCGGGTTCAGCAATATTGCCGTTGTGACTGGTGTATTCTGGGAAATTTTCTTACCCCTTGGTTTCGAGTTTGGTCCTGAAAAATCTTCATTCGAAGGGCTATTCACCCCTTCCCCTTAGCCCTACGCCTTCAGGCTAAAGAGAATTGGGACACCCCTACCCCTTGACGTGAATGCATAAATCGAGGGGTAGGGGTAAGGGGAAGGACTAAGGGGTATAATTGGGATTGGGATAATCAATCATAACGTTTAATGTAAAAGCATGTGTTTATACAATAAGTGCAGTGTAACAAATTACTAATTTTAGTGTAAGTACAAATTGGTGAAGGTCACCTAGTATAAAGTGTTACCCACATTTAATTTCTGACATTGTTTTTTTATTTTATTTTGTAATTCACAGTGATTCATGGCAATTCAACGTTTTTCCTCATTATAGCTATACAAGTTTGGTCTTTTTGTCAGATTTTCAAATACATATTTGCTTCAAATCAGAGTTTGTAATGTTGTGATTCTCCTCAAAGCTGTTTGATTCTTGGATTATAAAAATAATAAAAAATCCATATTAATAAATAAATGTAAAAAACAGTGCTGCTGAAAATTGCACAAACACCAATGTACAGTAACAGACACACCTCAGCATATAATCCATCCCACAGAAACCCAAGAGGACAGATAACTGTAGTTTCAAGCCATCAATAAAAGTGAATCACATGCTTACAGTTTCTCTCCAGAAATGGCTGACCGTATTTCTAAACCTCTCCAGTCAGTGCTCATCTGCTCAAGCTGTTATTGTATTAGCAGGATGAGTGCATTATTAAAATAAGAACAAGAGGGATGTCTGTTTATCAGTGATGTTTATATTGCAGATTGTTGGCTTATGGCCTCGAGTTCAGTCTCCTTCAGGAAAGAACAAAACACAACTGGAATCACATCGCTCAGCCTAACACTCAAATCAAAAAGTTCTGCTTCTCGTAATTTTGCAGTTTCTGTTTTCTCTCAAATGCTAAAATCGTATTCCTGCCGTAATCACATTTACAGCATGATTGAGCGTAATGTTGTATTGCTGCTTTTGGAAAGTGGACCCTAATGGCTAATGTTTTGCTGTATTGATTACTTTTATTATGACAGATAAGCCATGTTGAGGCTCTGGATGCTGGCTGCTGTCTCAGTGCTCCTTCTGCTGTCTGAAGGGGGGATGACGGCGAGGACTAAGAGAGAACTGGCCGGACCGCTGCACCTCAGGGGGATCCGGGACCCCTTTGGCTCTTACTGTCAGAGGAGAGGAGGATGCTGTCCTGGCAGAAACGACCAATGCACTGTGCCTTACCTGGACACCATCTGTTACTGCGACCTGTTCTGCAACCGCACCGTATCCGACTGTTGTCCCGACTTCTGGGGCCACTGCCTGGGGACAACTCCTCCCTACCCTCCCAGTGAGTTTAATATGTCAGTTTTGGATAGTGTGAGCTCTTTTGAAATACGATTGCATGACAGTGAATAGACACAAACTTTAAAACAGATAAAAAAGCAGAGTAAATATGACAGTACATCATGTTGACAAAAAAAACCTGATATTGTTTCATAGTATCTCTATCGTTTGTTTTGTGGTGTCACTAAATACATTGTCTATAGCAATATTTCTTTATATTTTAAATAAGAGAAATATAAAGGGGATGCTAATGATAACATGAATAACAGCATCATGAGAAAGTTGCAGTCTTGCATTTTATTCAGTGGTATTCATTGAACCTGTAACTATTAGTATTTGAAAAGTGTTGTTTTAATTACATTTCAAGAGTTCACACTTACTGTAGATGTTGCTTGATGCTTTTAGCAGGTTTGGAATGCTGTCCTGGGAGAGAACCCTGAGCTCTGAGATAATTGAGCCCAGGGCTCCCGCCTGTTCAATAGAGCATGTAAGGGGAGTACGATATCAGTCGGTTCTCGAGAGCTCCCTGTGGTAAAAGAGGAAACGGGGAGAAGGGGTGGATGGTGGGTTTCTTCTGAGGAGTAATTTTTGCGAGTTTGGATTAATCTGATTGGCTAACTAATGATTGTAGATGAGAGGCCAGCTGCAGTCTATTTTATCACGTACTCCTCTCAAAATTAGTTTGTGAAACTTCACTTAGGGGGCGACATGGTGGCTCAGTGGTTAGCACTGTTGCCTCACAGCAAGAAGGTCACTGGTTCTAGTCCTGGCTGGTCCAGTTGGCATTTCTGTGTGGAGTTTGCATGTTCTCCCAGTATTGCCCTTGTTTCCTCTTGGCTTCTTGGTTTCCCCACAGTCCAAAGTTCTATAGGGGAATTGAATAAACTAAATTGGCCGTAGTGTATGTGTGTGAATGAGTGACCTATCACAGAATAATTGGCGGTTCATTCTACTGTGGTGACTTCTGAAATAGAGACTAATCCAAAGACAAATGAATGCATGAATGAAAGAATGAAAAAAATATGGACATAAGACATTAGAACAGCACCAGGCTGAGTAAATATATATATATATATATATTCATTCATTCATTTTCTTTTCGGATTAGTCCCTTTATTAATCAGGGGTAGCCACAGCAGAATGAACAAATGAATGAATAAATATATATTTTTGATGATATTGAACAAATTTAATCAATTACTTTTGGGTGAGATTAAATCACTTTATTTAAACGTGATTTAGGCCAGCATTTTCTGTTAGATTTCAGTATTTCCTCTAATAATGTAGCTGCTCAGAGACTTTGAAAACATGGCTGCTGATTAAACTCACATTACTTGAAAACCAAAAATGATTTGTTATTTGGATGAACTGATTTAATCATAAGGCTTGACTCAAATGACTTTGCAACTTCTCTCATGATCATATCTAGGGCTTACATAAATATCAGTAAATTATGAATTAAGAAGATTTGAAATGTTGTGCATTAGTCAAGTTGTATGAAACTGGATGTTTTTGTGAATTTGGATTGTCAGATGACCCCACACTGACAGAATGTTATAGGGTCAAGAAGCCCCCCTCTTTCAGTTCAAGTCTACCAATTTTTCAAAAAATGCTCCGAGATGGGCGCAGAGCTCTGCGAGATGAGGGAGGAGTGGGCGTGGCCAGCAGAGCAGGGGGAGAGAGGAGCGAAACAATTGTTGTCAGTTAGCTCACAAAATGAGACACAAACCGTGAGGAGACACATGGTTTTATTGTTTACAAAGTTAAAAATGCAAAGAAATGTTATTCGTATTTTTATATACACATAACCACAATTTGTTATATCATTATAAAGATAATCATGTTTATATAAACACTATAAATGAGAAGGACTTCTCTCCTCCTCAATCCCAGAGTCTGAATGCAGACACAGTGGATAGCAGTGCAGCAGGTGTCTTGCCCTATCTATTTCAACCATTAGCCCTGCTGGTAATCTGTAGGCTTTTAAACATGTGTGAACACAGCAGCACGGCGGTGTGTCTGAATGGTAACAAACTCAACTAATAAAAGACAAAGTCCGCCGTTCTCCAATCCTCATACAGCTCTCTCGACAAAAATGCTTGCTGCAAACCAACAGCTTTGCTGTTTCGTCCCTGACAGCATTGCGGAGAAAAACATGCAACAAACCCTGTGGATCATGGAAAAAAACGCATACAACCCTTCATGAACAGCTAAATACTGTGCCATGCGTGGACGCGGTCTCACCCAGTCATTGGGTCTCAAAGCTTGTCAGGTCTGCCTTGCCATTGGAAAGCATGTGCTCTCATGAATAATTAAGAAGAAGGGTCTTCTCATAGGATTAGAAAGCTCAGCTTTGGATAATAATGAGAAATCGGCACGTCATCACTTTAATAGCAGATTCATGCTACATCCATGATTTTTATCCCGCCCCAAAACTTATTTTAAACCCGCAAGCTGAAATTAGCTGACAAAAGCTCCCAATTATCCAGTTTTCCCCACGAATAAAGCTAACAATGTTTGAACTGATGCTCAACACAAACAAATCTGATAAAATCTCAAAAAATGTACCTTAAGGGTTTCTTAAACCTTTAAAGTGAACTATCCCTTTTAATCTCAACCATGTTTTCATTTTTTTCCAAGACAAAACACACATATTTACCTACAGAAAGAATCTGTAGTGTGAGATTAGTCTTTTTGATCGAGATGAAAAGCCAAAACAAATCCAACGGTATGCAGTCTTGGCCCACAGCCAATGTTTAAAGTCTGCACTAAGTATTAAGAAAAGGTTAGTTATTTTGTAAAAACATAATGGAAAACTGCATTCTTCCCTGTTAATGTTTTCCTTGACTTTCTTGCATCTTTGTCCTTAATGGGGATGTGTAGTTTCACCGAGGTGTAAAATGTTCAGTCGTGAAACTAATAATGGTCAGGGAACAATAGCATTCTCATAAAAAGGCCAGAACAGGGAATGAATGGAGGTCAGCAGAAAGAATGCCTGTAATGTACGACGAGGGAAGGGGCTGGAGAGGGTGACTGCGGGCAGAAAAGGATCAGAACAGGTATGTGTGTAATGTGTGTTTGCTAAAGGAGGAACTATCACGTCTATAGGGCAGGTATGACTTCATGGATCATTGCTCAGCATTACTCAGACTGGGCCATGGTTTCTGTAAAACAACTTTCATTTACAGTAACAAATAAAGTCTGAGAGTTTGTGCCTCCTGTTTGTCCAAGTTAACTTTATTGTAGACTACTGTACAGCATAACATTTTGAAAAAAGTCAACTTTTTAAAATATAGTCTAAAAATATTCTACTATTGCGCCAAAATGTTATATTTAATATTATTAGGATGATGATTATAATAAATATTATTCCAATAGAATGTAAAATATAATATTGTGCCGAAAACAACAAAACAAGTTTTTTTTCATGTTCTTTGCATGATTTTTCAAAAATGTGAAACTATCATATATTTTAGAATATTATATAGAGAGGAAAGCAAAGTAAGCAAAGGTCCAAAATGATTGTGACAATTATTGACTCAAATATATTTATATATTATAAATTTTAAAAATACTTACATTTAAATTAAAATAAATTTAATAAATTAAAAAAATAACAATAAATAAATAATAATAAATAAATAATAATAAATAAATAAATACCTTTTTCCCAGAACTGGTTTGAGGCTGGAAGGGAATCTGCGTAAATAAATAAATAAATAAATACATAAATAAATAAAATAAAACACCTTGTGGCAACCAGATCCATTGTATAAACACAAAACTAAAAGCCTGGTCACAAAAAAACAGGATTTAATTTATCTAACACTTCACAAATGACCACAGGAATAAGTGGGATAATCAACGTCTTGCCGTGCGTTAATGGATTTTAAATGCACAATGTGGAAGCAAAGAACAGCCCAACACAAAGCACAGGGAACCGTTGATTACTTCCCCACTTATTTCCATGGTCATTGCCAAATTATAGACAAGTTATAACTAGTTTTGCTCTTTGCAGCCCAATATTTGACCAAGTTTATATCAGTTATTGCAAGTTAGTCCTTATTTTGGAACAGTCACAGGCAGACAGAAAGGAAGCACTCGTGCGAGATTGTGTGTGTGCTTGTTAATGACACTGACATATCTAATAGCTCATAGCAATATGTGTTTGTTGCCTCTTAGCAAATATTTTTGAGCATATTTCCAAGTTGGTTAATCCCCATAGACTCCTGGTGAAGCACACAACAGTAATGGTAAGGGAAGTACTGTACATTTATTTTCAACTAAGAGCAAAGCCTGTTGAAAAAAATATTTCTGGATTTATGACATATATTTATGTATTTTTGAGTAATTGTGTTCTGTTTTGCAAACTACTGATGACTGTTCTTCTAAATTGTTGTCAATTAGAGTACAAAAATACATTTACAATACAATACAATACAATACAATACAATACAATACAATACAATACAATACAATACATTTGTCATTTTTAGAAAAACCAATACCAATGTTTTAACTTAAGATGAGTTTAAAAAATAAAAGAAGAAATATTGGGTGGAATAATCCTAATTGTCAGTCACAACAAATTAAAATATATACAGTTGTTGTCAGAATTATTAGTCCCCCTTTAACTTTTTTTTTTTTTTTTCATATTTCCCAGATGATGTTTAACACACCAAGGAAATTTTCACAGTATGTCTGATAATATTTGTTTTTCTGGAGAAAGTCTATTTGTTTTATTTCGGCTAGAATAAAAGCAGTTTTTAATTATTTAAACACCATTTTAAGGTCAAAATTTTTAGCCCCTATAAGCATTTTTTTCCAGATTTTCTTCAGAACAAACCATCGTTATACAATAACTTGTATTAATAATACAAAAACAATAATACAATTACCCTATCCTGCCTAATTACCCAATTAGCCGAGTTAAGTCTTTAAATATCACTTTAAGCTGTATAGAAGTATCTTGATAAATATCTAGTAAAATATTATTTACTGTCATCATAACAAATATAAAATAAATCAGTTATTAGAAATGAATTATTAAAACTATTATGCTTAGAAATGTGCTAAAAAAATCTTATCTCCATTAAACAGAAATTGGGAAAAAATAAACAGGGGAATAAATCAGGGGGGCTAATATTTCTGACTTCAAATATATAGTCATAATTATTAGCCCCCCTTTATTTATTTTTTTCCTCAAATTTTGTTTAACGGAAAGAAGATTTTAATTTTTTTTTTAAACACATTTCTAAACAATACTTTTAATAACAATTTTCCTTTATCTTTGCCACGATGACAGTACATAATATTTTAGTAGATATTTCCCAAGATACTAGTATTCAGCTTAAACTGACATTTAAAGGCTTAACTAGGTTCATTAGGTTAACTAGACAGGTTAGCGTAATTGTATAACAATGGTTTGTTCTGTAGACTATCGAAAAAAATATTGCTGAAGAGTACTATTAATACTGACCCTAAAATGTTCTTTAAAAATTACAAACTGCCTTTATTCTAGCCAAAATAAAACAAATAAGAATTTCTCCAGATGAAAAAATATTATAGGAAATACTGTAAAAAAAATCCTTGCTCTGTTAAACATCATTTGGGAAATATTTGAAAAAGAGGAAGGGCTAATAATTTCGAACTCAACTGTATTCATTCATTCATTTTCTTTTCGGCATAGTCCCTTTATTAATCTGGGGTTGCCACAGCGGAATGAACCGCCAACTTATCCAGCATACATTTCATACAGCGGATGCCCTTCCAGCTGCAACCCATCTCTGGGAAACATCCATACACTTATTCACACTCATACACTTTGGACAATTTAGCCTACCTAATTCACCTGTACCACATGTCTTTGGACTGCGGGGAAAACTGGAGCACCCGAAGGAAACTCACGCGAACACAGGAAGAACATGCAAACTCCACACAGAAACGCCAACTGACCCAGCCGAGGCTCGAACCAGTTACCTCCTTGCTGTATATATATATACATACACATAACAATCATAACAATAATAACATATATATATATATATATAAATCATGTTATTTTTATGCTTTTTGAGTCCAGATGGAGTCGGTTATTACATCAGGGTATCCAGCCAAACAATGACTTCTGTTTCCAAACAACTTTAAAGCCCTCCTGGCCTCCTGTGTTTAGCCAGGCCACTGTTGTTATGTAACCCTCCTTGATGCCTCTAGTGAATCAGAAACTACACATTTCCTCTTTTAACTAATTTTTATTGACACGTTTAAGGTAAAGGTGAGATATTATTTGTGTGTCTGTGATTTAGCCGTCCTGCATTCGCTTCTCTTTCGAACTGTAGCTTGTAGTTGATAAATTAGGAGGAGAGGAAAGACAGCCTCTCTATTTCAAGCCAGGCAATGTGGCAATCTCTGATTAAGTTCGTCAAGGCATGACGACAGCAGAGTCTCTGGGAAAGCAGAGGAAAGCCAAGGAAACATTCCACTGCGGGCACTGCAGACTACATCAGGCATAAATAAAAGAAATAACTTTTAATCCAGATGTTTAGTGTGTATCTATTTAGGACACCTACTGTTACATTTACATTTAGTCGTTTAGTTGACCCTTTTTTTTTTCCAAACGACTTACAATTAAGGAGGCTTTAAGCGATTCTAAAAGAAGAGGCAATACACACAACAAGTGCTTATTATACAAAGGAACTGCTCAGAGAATTTGAAGGGGGAGTGTTATTATTTTTTGAAGAGAAAGAGAAGAGTGTTTCTACAGGTGGTTTGTCAAGCCCACTCACCTGTGTGGAGCACACTTCTAAGATTGTGTCTGGTGTAAGTGTCGGTTAAAATGTCTGAGAGATGAGAGAGTGTGTTTTCTACAGGTTGCTTGTCAAGCACACTCACCTGTAGTAGGCACACTCAGAATTACATGTTTTGAGGTTGTCTTCATAGTGGGCGAGAAAAAGGGGTCTTGATTTCATGTGAACTTAATGGGAAGGTTTTTAGAGCCTAAATTTGTTAGCTGGGATATTTCCAACAAGCATCGTAAAACTAATCACTGTTGTTTATTTCAGGTTCTTGTGAAAGAAATGGCCACCGGTTTCCCTCAGGATCCACATATAAAGAGAACTGCAATTTATGGTGAGTTTGAAATCTAGTCAAATCTATAGTTGAAGTCAAAATTAATCGCCCTGCTTTTGTTACTTTTTCAAATATTTCCCAGATAATGTTAAACCGAGGAGAGAATTTTTCACAGTATTTCCTGTAATATTTTATAGGAGAAAGATATATATTTGTTTTATTTTGGCTAGAACAAAAAAGTTTTTAATTTTTTAAAAACCATTTTAAGGTCAATATTTTTTGCCCCCTTTAGCAATTTCTTTCCATTGTCTACAAAACAAACATCATTATACAATAGCTATGTTTCCAACCACCTATTTTTATGTGCATTTTGGATTTGCACATAAAAAAAGGTTGATGGAAATGCGATGATGCGCATAACTGAATAGGATAAACTTTTTATTCGATAGGAAAAGATGGGAAACTGCGATGGAAACACTTTTACCGAACAAATTCCAGTATTTCAGTATTCCAGTATTCCAGTTTTTTAAAAAAGTCATGTGATTTTGTTGAAAGAGATCATAAAATATATATGAATGGACATACCAGCAGGCTGCACACATTCTAAAACACCTTAACCCAGGGGTCTCAAACTCGCGGCAATATTTTGTGGCCCGCGCCGACCGCTGTACACTGACAGAATCAGCGGAGCGGGGAGAGAGAGCGCTCCCCGCTCCGCTGATTCTATCCGTACACAGCGGTCACTGGCATTCCCCGCCCGCCGTGTAAACAAAGGGGCGGGGGTGCCGGTGACGTCACCACGCACCCCGCCCCTTTGTTAGACGCTGTGACGGGCGGGAAGTGTTAGGAGGGAACTCGCGCCGGCCAGAACCAAGGTAAGCTGTTCCCGCCCCTGCCTGCCACTTAGCTACCTATCTGCAGCCTGCCACCTACCTAGCTACAGCCTGCATCTTATATATATATTATAGGTAGATACAGACTGGTACAGACTGATGTGACTGGAGTGGGGTGGGGGTGTTTTATTTATACATATATACGCCTTTTTTTTAGGAGAGGGAATGGAAGTTTTGAGTGAGTCTAGACAGGTCTAGACTTAATGATGATTATCTTCAAGCCATACTGAGGGTCTCAACTGCTTCTGCTCTAAAGCCAAATGTGTTTCAGATTTGTGAGAAGAAGCGCTGTCAAGTCTCTGGCAGCAAGAAGTAGGCAAAAGATGCCATGGTTAGAAGAACTGTTCATAATCTTCACTCAATGTTCTATTAATGTTCAGGACACTTCATGTTCAGAAGAAATAATTAAAACTGTTAATAATGACATTTGAGGACTTTTTTTTTTGTGAAATCCCTTATGCGGCCCAGCCTCACCCAGACTTTGCCTCCTGCGGCCCCCAGGTAAATTGAGTTTGAGACCCCTGCCTTAACCATTTCAGTATTAGTGTTATTATAGATGATTCCTAACTTAGTATAAATAACCAAAGCATCTTACCTTAGTCATCTTCATCTTGAAGAATCCCCCCTTCCACCCCCTCTCCTCCTCTTTTTCCTCTATAGGGCAGCACGGCGGCCCAGTGGCTAGCACTGTTGCCTCCCAGCAAGAATGTCTCTAGTTCAGATCTTTACTCGGCCAGTTGACATTTCTGTCTGGAGTTAATGTTCTCCCCGTGCTCGCGTGGGTTTTCTCTGTGTCCTCCACTTTCCTCCCACAGTTCAAAACATGAGACACAAGTAACTTGACTAAACCAAATCAGCGCCATAGACGAATTTCACCAGCAGCACACCCTCATAGCAATCCTTAAGCAGCCGGGGAGAGGGGGGTTCTCGAGATCTACACTGAAAAAAGGGTTGCATGCAGAACTGTTGCAAACAATTTATTTGTGTTGAATATAAACAAACAAATTAAGTTTAAAAATTTTCAACTTAATTTGTTTGTTTAAATTCAACACAAATAAATTGTTTACAACCACCTTACGTAAAAAAAAAAAATGAGTAAATCCAAGGAGTCATCTCTGAATATTTTTTTTCAGTGTACCTGAGCTCAAACTCCCCTCTCGCCCTGCAAACGAGAGGGACCCCCGGGCTCGAGGATCTTATGAGCCCAGGGCTCTCTCAAGGGACAGCATGCCAAACAAGCTTTATGATCAATCGTCAGCTAAGTGTGAACTCTTTAAAACTCATTGGATGGAAACACTGCTTTATTCGCACAACTTTTATGCGATATTACAGTTTTGTGCATACATTTAATTTGCATCCTGGATGGAAACATAGCTAATGACTTGCCTAATTATCCTAACTTGCTTAGTTAACCTATAGTGATGTATTTAAATGTCTCTTTAAGATAGTACCTTGGAAAATATCTAAAATATTCTGTACTTTCATCATGGCAAAGATAAAAGAAATCAGCTATTAGAAATTTGTGATTAAAACTAATATGTTTAGAAATGTGTTGTAAGAAATCGTCTTTCCATTAAACAAAAAACAAAAAAAACAAAAAAAACAGGGGAGCTAATAATTCAGGAGGGCTAATAATTCAGACTTCAACCGTATATACACCATCCTCCTTTCTTTTTTTCCCCCTCCAAACACTACTTTTTTCAATGGCATCATGGATCTCTCAATCCAAGGCCACTGTTGGCTCTATCAACACACATGTTGTCATGATTTGTCCGAAAGGGTCTTGACTGAGCTGCTTCAGTGGGCATGACAGAGTGGGCATGACATGTAATCATGAAAGATTACACACATTCCTGCGCCCCCATAGATCCATACATGCGCTTGACCTTCAGTGCCTTTGTGATTCCAACAAGTGTGAACAGTACAAACACCCCGCCGGATCATGTACAGCACATATACGTCCACAATATTCACTGCGTGTCTCTCTCCCTTTACATAAAGCCCTCACTAATAGGATTAGCTCTCCTCATAGAATCTAATCCGGCGCAGCAGCCGCGGTCAAAACACATTCCCTTTCACCATTTGAGGAGTCATTGTTGGACACATACAGTAGGCCTCGATTACACCTGGGTTTTATTAGTGGATGGTGCTACAGTTATTGCATATTTAGAGTGTCCACTTCCAAAGCAGTTAGAAATATATTTGATTGGATAGTGTAATCACTCATGTGGTCAAACAGCCATAATAGTCTCTAGTCTCAGCCTATTGACCGAACATGGGCTTGTTATGGGACGTGTTATGAGAAAGCTAGTTTTTGTCATTTTATTGGTGATGGATTGTCATGTTTGTTTTGCTGTAAGGGGAAGTTATGTGCACTTTAGCTGACTGAGCTGTTCATGTGCACTAAATAACCTCCAGCTGAGATGTGCTGGGAAAATTGCAGATAATTGGAGAATGATTCCACCAGTCTCTCTGGTAAATGTTACACAACAAACTGCTGTAAATTTAGATCGCTGGATAGTACTTGCTAGAACATAATAAAACAAAATAAAATAAAATAAAAAGTAAATTAAAATAAATTAATTAAATAAAATTAAAAGTAGATAAAACAATAAAATAAAAATAAATGAATGGAATAAAATAAAACAAAATAGTAAAGTAAAATGAAATAAAATAAAAAAGTAAAAAAAATAAAAAAATACTATAAAATAAAAAAATAACAAAATAAAATAAATAAAAAGTAAATTAAAAATAAATAAAAATAAACAAATAAATATTTTTAATTAAATCAAAATCAAATTAAATAAATACATTAAAAATAATAAATAAAAATATATAAAAAAAGATTAAAACTCTGGATCAAAAAAGTGAATTTTAACAAAAAAACTGCAATTATGAAATTAAATAAATAAATAAATATTATATTATATTATATCATATTATATTCATTATATATATATATATATATATATATATACATAGATACATTGTTGGGGGGGGCTTTCTTGCAATATTTTCATCCATCTATTTTTTAAAACATATCTAATAATCATACAAATTATTTATATTTATATTTATATTTTCATTATATTTCCTTTGTACTATTTTGTAATACAAACTATGCTTTTATTTATTTATTTATTTATTTTGGTAACAGGATTTTGATAGATTAAAGTAACTGGTTAAATGTATGTATTTAATAATAAAAACAATATGTACGATAAAATAATTAAGTACAATTGCTCAAATTAAGGGGTAAAATACTTTTTAATGGAAACGTAATTCTGACTCTGCTCCAGAGTAATTTAAATCTCTAATGTGAAGTGGAACCAAATAAGAGTGATATAAAATAGCTTTAATATAAGGTACAATTCCAAGGCATCATATATTATGTTGGCTTGCTTGCTGGTATCTGATTCTGTTAAATTGAAGCAGTACATATTGGTCTAAAATCATCTGACTTTTTGTTGTGATAAAGTGCCGTTTCATTATATTATGTTTTGCTTGTGAGAAACAAGTGATGGCTAGACCAAACAGTAAAGCAGGAATTCCTGACCCTAACGCCAAAACCTTTTCACATAGCAGTGATATTAGTGTTGTCTCTAAAAATATACAGTATTGTTTGTTTTTGGGTTAGTGTGTTCACATGCTTGCCACATATATCCGTTTGTGGCATATTACTGTATAGATCTGTTGCTGTGCATAAGTAGTAGAACCTTGCAATCTAGATATAAAAAAGCTAATACAAGCCGCAAGAGTCAGGTTATTAGCTTTTCAAAATGTTTGAATTTTAGTCACTCAAATGAATGATTTTTGCTGCTTGTTCAAACTACTTAATTAAATGATCTGAATCAACACAATTCTTGGGTTTGTTTTGCAACAACTTAATTGTTTTATGTTCAATACACATACATTTGTAAAAACTATTAAGTTAACTTAATAGATTTGTGTTCGGACAACATGAAGTGATTGTGTGGAGCCCTGCGTTTTTTACAGTGATTTTTTTGGCGGGACAAATAAATTGTTTTTTCAATCATTTTCAGTTCTTACATTTGTAAAACTTACATTTGTAAAAACTAATAAGCTAACTCAATTCCTTCAAGTTGTCCCAACACAAATCTATTGTGTGAAACCCAACATTTATCTTTTTTAAAAGTTAAAAAAAAG